TGGCACATATTTAAAATCCTATTTTCGTCCCTGGACCTAGGACTATGTTTCTTCTACAAACCCTTTTCTTGCATTTAATTGGTAAAAGTGATAGTCTGATAAGACACGCGTGCAGACAAAGCATATCAGAATGTTATTCCACTCTGAGGAGTTACTTTCTCCAAGTAGTTTCTGTGCAATCTTCACTATACTTGTATTTCAAAGGGAATTTTCTTTTGAAGCAGATATTCTGAATATAAGTTTGTGTCAGGTGTTTAAAGACAACCTTTATTGTTCAACTCTGGAAAAAAAAACACACTTGAAGGGTTAACAGATGAGGTCAGCATGAAGTTTCTACAGAGGAATTGTAATTTAATAGTACAGTAATTTCATAGCTGTGCACAGATTCAGCTATACTGTAAGTTAACTGTTACTAGCTTCATATCTATTTTATTAATACTAGTAATTTTTATTGCAAAATTTCACTGAAGCACTTGACTGGATGGTGTACAGTGTCGTCCCCATGAGACAACTGTAATATATCCGAAAGCATTTTGGCCTAAGAAATGGCCAAATTAAATAAATAAAAGTAACCAGGACATTTGAAATCAATAGCTTTTATATTGTATCTTTGGCAAGCTTCTATATTCATTCAGGTATTCAAATTTCCAGAAACATAGCTCCTGAATAAATACTAACTCCAGGCAATAGCTGGAGACTTTCTCCCAAGTGTAACTCAGCTGAAAAATGACTAACCTCAAGCCTTGTCCTTGCAATGTAGTACCAATAACAAAACTAGCAAGCTTGAAGTGTTCTCCTCTGTCTTAACAGGGCATTGAACTAACTACCATGGGTTCATCTGTCTGCTGCAGTTGTGCTTCATCAGTGATTCTTCAAAGTTATGGACCATCTAAAGTTTTTCTAGTGGAGTTGGGGACCACTCTAAGACTTCATCAAGCATACACACACATGAGTACATGCTTTCTTAGTCACCTTTGGGTTATTTTTAAGTTGTACAAGTAGCTCCATTGACTGGAAAAATTGGTAAATGCTGTAGAAAGATGCAGAGAAACTGTGGGCTAACAATAGAGGAGTAATGGGATACAGAAACCGTGTAAAACAAATTAGGGCCTATGCTACATTGGTATCTGAGTAGGTACATAAAATGCCCATAAAATCTATGATGCCAAGGAAAGTGCTTCTCTTCCTCTATTTAGAAGATGCAGCGCAGATATAAAGAGCTACAGCACATGTTTTTGTGTTTATACAGATATCTCCATTCCCTGTGGGCTATTTTAACTGGCCTTATACGGGAAGAAAGTCTTGCTTCTCTGCCTGCCTGTGCTTCCTGTGGAAGATCTGCCAGACCTTTTCAGTGTTACGTGGGTGTTTGTGTCCTCAGATTATTTATTGAGAATCAGGCATGGGAAGCATTGCCAAACATCCCCAGGTAGCTTACTTCCCTTCTGTGAGGAGAGTAAAACCTGATGTGTATTTCTGCAAAAAAGAAGTGCAGGTCAGAGATTGTGCTCACAGATGAGACTTTGTCTGAAAGATTCTTGGCACCAGAGGTTCAGGGGTCAAATGCTTTGATGTCAGGAGTGAAATGTTCCTTCACAAAACACTAAAGTTTTAGAGTAAGCAGATGGTTTCGTGCGGAATCTGTTTAAGCGTAAGATGGTCTCACAGGTGACTCGTACCTTATTTCTCAAAAGCCCGAGCAAGAACTGTTTAGGAGCTGTAATTATGGGTACGGACTGAGATCCTATTGACTAGCTTTTAAGGAAATTAGGATGCAATAGACTATTGTTGACAGCTTCCTTGAAAGGGCAGATTTACTAGCCTTCTTTCTGTGTGAGGAGGTGAATTTGGTTTATGTTGGTAGCCGAGAGCCCAAAAATTTTCATCACAAAATAAGCTGCTTCTGCAGCTTGCAAACTTTCTAACCACAGTGGGGAGGAGTCAGTGAGTGATGTACAGTGTATAATTGGCTTAAGAGCTTGTAAGGAAATGAGTAACAAAGAACTCCTGCTCCGTAGTGTTTTGGGTTCCTGGACATGAGGGTAGGATGTCTGACTTGGCACCAGACTTCTTCACAAAAGCTGCTTTCTTCAGTGTTCGCCAAGAGCTAAACTAGTGAGTTTATTTAGAAGCCTAATCAGAAGGCACCAAGGTTTAAGCAGAGCTGTAGACATTTTCTGCTCTTGAAGTGACAGTAAACTGTAGCTTCTTATCTGAGCATGGACAATTTTTTTAGCCAACTAGTTTCATGTAACCTGAATAGTGAGGTTATTAACCTTATTAACATCAGGTTTGTAACTCAAATAATAGTGCTCTGTCATAATACACCTTAGCTTATTGCTGCTGGAGTAACTGGGATCTGGCCCTTACTTCCTATCTGCAAGATCTCAGATTAAAATACCATATCATTCACACACAAATGGCCTGGGAGGAAATTGATAGTAGTTCAATCCCCTCCCTCCACCTACCCACCCTCCCTCCTTTTCTCCCTTTCTCTTTTTTTTTGTGCATCGAGGGGGTGTTGTGTTTTGTTCATGGTGGGTAAGAGTTGTAGGCAGGCTGCTAGCAATGCAGTGCGGGGAAGCAGACAGACAGACAGACAGACAGACAGAC